CTCCTCTCCTTTTCCTGTCTCGCATCATTTCCCCATCCTGAATCATTTTACCCTATTCTCCTTAAGATGGGTAGTTTTCAGGTACTATTTGTTTTATGTTACGGATTCTCTGCACTGTTCTAGGGCGTTATTTTCAATAGGTACAGCTGTAGGGTTTGATTTCAGTTGTAAATGTTGATTTTGGTGGGTTGGTTGTTAAGTGGGGAACTAATTTTATTAGATGGAATTTTGTTAACCGTAGGGGTTTTTCCCCTTGTAATCTGTACTACACAAAGTGCGGCAAAGGTGTGTCAAATAAATGATGTTGTAGCAATAGTAGTACCAGATCTAATCAGAACTATCTGGTGGCCTGTTTAATATTAATAATCGTAATAATAGCAGCAGCACCTGGGCACGTTGCTGACTCCTGGGTCTCCAGGAGCTGCTTTTCTGTGGCAAGGCGTGGCTGATGCGCCCTTTGCATGAAAGCAGGAGGCAGGCCTGGCCCTGTAAACCGATTGATGCGGCGCTCAAGCGAGGGGCTGGAAGAACCTGAGGGCTGCCGGGGCTCAGCTCTGGCCTGCGTCGGTCCCCTTTCTCCTCCGGCCCAGGGGCTGAAGTGCGCTTGGGTTCGTGCTGCTCAAACAACTTCGATACCGAATGAAGTCACTTTCTGGGTTTGTACAATATACTGAATTGTAACTGAACTAAATGGGTTGAGTTTGCACAGCAAAGTCACAGGGAAGGGAAGGGAAGGGAAGGGAAGGGAAGGGAAGGGAAGGGAAGGGAAGGGAGAAATCTCACCAAGGTTGAATTAGTTTAGCATGCTCTGGGCATTCGGCAGCTTGAACATACGTGGTCTAATAAAATGCATTGTGTGAACTCAGCTTAAGGTGTGTCCCTAACATGGGCCCTCTCTCTATCACCATTTTAACCAGGACGGGGGAGATGGGACCTCCGTAAGTCCAGGGATTCAAGGTACTTCAGAGAGGGCAAGGCTGCCAGCGTAACACAGCTTGGCTGACTTGCTTGAGCTGTCAGCCATAGAACCTGATCCAAGTTCTGGGCACCTGGAGGATTGAACTGATTGAGGGAGGTCGCGATTGCCCCAGGATTTTAGAAGCCAGGTTGCAATCCCAAGATTCTCCTGCTGAATATTTCGATTCCCTCGACCCACGGCTCTCTCCCCTGTGCTGAAATGTATGTCCTGCTTGCAGTAGGAGGAAGGGGACTTGAAAAGAGAGTTCAAAGCCAGCATATTCCCCTGTGAACGTTTGCCTCCTAACGGGGTGGCAGCGGTGGGGAAAAATTCAAGCAACAGCTTTCAAGTTTGGTTACAACATTCACACACTTGGGCTTCCTTTAGCACAACGCATTAAGCCAGGATAATATTAGCCTCAGTTAGTTTTAGAGTTCAAAACCAAGCCCACAGGGTTAATTTATAGTTCAGCATGTTGGGCAAACGCAGAATGAACCTTGGTGCAGTCAACCACAGAGACTAGGGGCATGCCGACTCAGCCACGTCTGCTTATGGCAACACTGGCCCTGCAGGGAAATGGTTTCCCCACTTTGTGGGTGCGGCTGAAGAGACCCCGTTGTCCTCTTCCGCCATATAAGCAACTTTATAAACAGGCAGGCCAAGTCCCCACAAAAATCTCATTTGACCGTTGAAACAAATCGGAAGGTGGCGGGGGGCTTTTCAGTCGGCGCTGAGACACAGCTGGGCAGGGGGTCACCTAGCCGTACCTTTTCCCCTGAAAGGACTGTAGACCCCATAAGGCAAACTAGCAGCCACCTGAAAATGGGGCGGGGCTGCAGTCCAGACCCTTGTTTGGGACGTGTCCGCTGGCCAGGAAAAAGGTTTACGAGGAGTGCGTTGGGGGCAACCCTTCTAAACAACTGGTTGCGCCCGATCCCCCATTGCAAGGGGGATTTGTGAGAACTTTCACAACTTCTGCAAACATTCAAATGCCCAAAGAGGCTGCCTTCCCCGCTTCAGAGGCACAGGCAGATGTCTCAGCCAACGCTGCCTTTCTGCTTTCAAGCCCTGCTTATCTTGCTAGCAATGAGATTAACCAGCTGTTCCCCTGGGATTTCTAGCTCCGCCGCCGTGTGATCCTAATATCTTGGTGTTATTCAGACGTTGGCAGGGAGACATCCGTTTCACACTCGGACCACGCTAAGCCACCGTCTCCCTTATGGTGGTGCACTGAAGAAGTCTCGGGAACACAGAGGAGGAAGGCTAAGCCAAAATGAAGCCCGTCACCTGGTGAGCCAGGTACCTGCTGCACACCCCACGGCGCTGAAGAAAACGGGGCAGGCCAGCAACTGAGCTTCCGGGCAGTTAATCAATAAAGGAAGGCAAACAGGTTTGGGGTGGACCTTGGAGGTTAGGTTGACCTTTCCCACCGGCCATGGAGTCAGGGCTCGATGTTAAAGTTAAAAGGGGGGGAGTTGCTAAGAGGACTCCCCCACTCAGTAGTTTGCTGTGTGTGAATCTGGGGGCTGGGGGGTGGGGGAGAGGGGCCAGGACCGTGACCTCTCCTGTACTCCCTGGTAGCACCACCTTTTCTGCTTCTTTGCTCCCCAGGGGCCGCGTAAAAAAGGGGAGCTGGCTGGGTCTAGTGGTGAAGGCCCCAGGTTAGAATCCAGGAGATGGTGAGTTCGAGTCCCGCCTTAGGCACGAAAGCTGGCTGGGTGACTTTGGGCCAGTCCCTCTCTCTCAGCCCAGTCCACCTCACAGGGATGCTGTGGTGGGGAAAATAGGAGGAAGGAGGATGAGGTATGTTTGCCGCCTTGAGTTATTTATAAAAATAATAAAGATGGGATAAAACATCTAAAAGAATAAAAACAGGCAGAGGTTCAATTGCACCATTCTGTCAGCCTTCTTGACTTCTTTGACCGTGCCCTGCAGACGCTGCTGGTTCATATATCCTTTTCTGGAAGAGAGCAGGATGTAGCTCCAAGGTCCTGAGGAGCTAATGCTTGGGAATACTTTACGTGAAGTGGTAAGTTATGCAAAATGTAAAAAGAAAAACGAAAAACAGTCTATACTTCCTTCTGGGCAGTAACCCATTGGGATTGCAGAAGTTTCCTCTGAATTCCTTTGCAAAGCTGACCCAGGACTCAACCGAGTCTGTGTCTGACGCTGGACACAACTGCTCCAGATCAGGGCCTAAAGGACGTGGGGGAGCAAAAGACCTTCTCCCAGCCAGGCCTCCCCCAGCCAGCGTTCCCACAGACAGCAGATCCTAAGGAAGCTCCACGGCCCGGCCTGATCAGACACCCCACCCCAAAGGCCTGGGTGCCTGGCCAGACCAGCACTCAGTTGCAGAAAGCAGAGCGCCACGGCCCCGATTCCTGGCCGAAGCGATTGGAGTTAGTCGCACTGGGATTTACTTTAAGGGCGATGTGGGTCAGGCTGCAGCCTTAATCCTCCCATTCTGTTTGGGCAGCAGAGACAAAGGGGGCAGGTTAGATTTTTGGAACGGGGAAGGAAACCTTTCCAAGCCAGGCTATTCGAGAAGGAAGTGCTAAAGGCCGTGTTTGTTTAGGCACTGCTCGCCTTCTCTTTTGCAGAAGATCCGGGAACTCCAGGCGGGGGGTGGAAGATGAAAAGAGAGGCTGTTTTTGCACAATGTGCTGAGCCCCAGAGCCCAGCCGAGGGACAAGCAGCCCCTCCATCTTGCACTGCCGATGCACGCCACTCCCTGGAAGGAGCCTCTGCTTTCCCCAATTCGGGGCCAGATCAGCTGCTGTCCTGGACCAGAATCTGAGCTCAGAGGTTGCAGGCTTTAGCTCCCTCAACCTCACACAGCAGACGGCTGGGACCTCCACACAGTAAACCCGAGTGCGACAGAAGGGCTGTGTGGTGCGTGTGTCTGCACGCGCTTCTTACCCGGGACTTTTTGTCTTAGGATATGGGTGAGGGCATCGCTGGGGGGAGTGTGGGCTGAGCCCTGGGAGTGGCGTTACCCACAGAACAGAAGGATCCCAGGGCAGGGTTGGTTGGGCTTCCCCGCGCCCAGAAGCTCGGCAGGTTCAGGCACGGTCAGTGCTTGGGCAGGAGACCACCAGGAAATCCGAAGGATAGACCGGGAGGTCGAACAAAACATCCCAGAAAAGGGAATGAATGCCAGTTGCTTCCAGAGCGCCACCGAGAGAACTACAGGGGTGGTGTGCCTGGGCGTCCGCTCACACGGCGTTTTCCACGGAGGTGCGCCAAAGGGGCCGGCGGGGCAGCAG